CACGTCCTGACGCATGCCCCGCACCGGCCTACCCAGCACGTCCTGACGCATGCCCCGCACCGGCCGGCCCGGCCTACCCAGCACGTCCTGACGCAGCTCCCGCGTGCGGCCCGCCAGCAGCAGGTGTCGGGGCAGCTCCTGCAGCCGCCGCTCATTGGCCACGGAGTCCGAGAACCACAGCGGCTGCGGGGACACCTGCGGGGACAGGGACGCTACAGGCCGGCCCACGGCGCGGGAGGGAGCGGGCCCGAGGAGCGTCACGAGCCTGGCCTCTGAGGATTCGCAGGAAGCACTACAGAGCAACAGCCTTGCCGGGCACTGAGGCGCACAGCGCACGGGCCCGGGCTACATGGGGAGGCCCCCTGCAGGATGATGGGGCTGAGGGTGGCGGTGATGATGATGGTGATGATGATGATGATGATGATGATGGTGGTGATGATGATGATGATGGTGATGGTGGTGGTGATGATGATGGTAGCATAAGCACAGACCAGGAGTGTGGGCCGGCGTGGCTGGGGTGCTCTCCCCACTCCCCCCAGACCACCAGAGGAGAGACCAAGAGGAATGAACTAGGGCAGGCTGGGTGCAGTGGCTCCTCCTAGTTACTCGGGAGGAGGCAGGGAAGGGGGAGGATCGCCACTTGAGGCCGGCCCAGACGAAAAGTTCACAGGACAACCCCATCTGAACCACCAAGGGCGGGCAGGGGAGGTGGGGAGGGCAGGGGAAGTGGGGAGGGCAGGAGTCCCAGAGCTACAGCCCCCGTGATTGAGTTCCAGGCTCCCTTGAGAGATTGTTTATCCCTTTCCCCTGGGGATGCTGGGGAGGGAGGGAGGGAGGGAGGCACATCCCACACCCACTCCCCTGCTGTCCCTGCCACACTCACCTTGCGGTCCAGGCTCAGGGGTACCCCCACAAGCGGCAGGGTGATGAGCTTCTTGGCGCCCTGGCTCCAGGCACCCGAAAAGAAATCAGCCAGGACGCTGTGCCTCTGGGCTCTCTCGGGCCCCGGCAGGTAGCGCATGCTCACCACCTCAGCCAGCTGCCTGCGGGGTGGGGTGGGGCACAGGGCCGGCTGTCAGAGGCCGCCAGGTCCATCCACACAGGTCCCTGCCTGGCCCTCCCCCCGTTTCTGCCCACTGCTCCTACAACTCGAGCCCCAGTGCACGCCTGTGCTTTCGCTCCAACAGCCGGGCACAGTGCTGCCCGCCTGGAGTCCCAGCAACTTGGGAGGTTGAGGTAAGAGGGTTACTTATCTCAGAGTTTCAAGCCAATCTGGACCAAGATAGTCGGACACACCCCCATCTTTTAAAAAAGAAAAGCTGGGCACCAGTGGCTCACGCCTGTCATCCCAGCTACTCAGGAGGCTGAGATCTGAGGATTGTGGTTCAAAGCCAGCCTGGTCAGGAAAGTCTGTGAGACTCTTATCTCTAATAAACCACTAGAAAACCGGAAGTGGCGCTGTGGTTCAAATGATGGAGCGCCAGCCTTGAGCTGAAGAGTGAAGGGACAGCGCCCAGGCCCATGACTGACAAAAGAAGAAAAAGAAGAAAGAAGAAGAGAAAAAAACAAAACAAGGGCCAGGGCTGGTACTGGCAGCTCACGCCTGTAATCCCAGCCACACTGGAGGCTGAGATCTGAGCATCGCAGTTGGAAGCCAGCTTGGGCAGGAAAGACTCGTGAGACTCTAATCTCCAATAATAATAATAATAGCAACAGAAGGCCAGACTGGAGTTGTGGCTCGAGGTGTAGAGCCCCTGCGTCGCCTGCTGGAGGCCTTCGGCTCACCCCAGCTTCCGGCCCCCCGAGCCCCACGTTCACTGTGTTCAGGGTGCACGCACGCGGGCGTCGCCCCAGGACCCGCTTCCAGGCGAGGTCTGGTTTTCGGGTCCCCTACCTGTGGGCGAGGGTGAGGAGCTGGCCGCCGTCCGCGGGCGCGGGCCTCCGGGCCAGGCAGAGGCCCAGATCCCTCCGCAGCCGCACCCAGAGCAGGGGCGGGAAGCGCAGCAGCCGGCGGCTGGGCGGCGTCCAGGCCCGGTACACCTCGCACAGCAGCGCGTCATCCAGGGACAGCACATCCTTCAGCTCTGCCTCCGACAGCCCGAACCTGCGGGGCCGGGAGGCTGGGCCGCGGGCCTGGGCTCCCAGCGCCCCCAGATCCAGCACCCGGCCAGGGCCAAGGCCAGAGGGGCCCTGGCCCCCCTCCCCTCCTCCTCCTCCAGCTTGTCTGCCTGTGTTCCCTGCTGACCCAGACCACTCCTGCAACAGGTTCAACAGAAAATCTGGGGTGCGTTGACCAGGACCAGCTAAAAGGTGGGACACCCCAGATTCCAGTGGGATACAGCGTGCCTTCCTTCCCTCACCCTTCTTTTTTTCCTTTTTTGACACATGGGGCCTGAACCCTGGCCTGGGCGCTGTCCCTCAGCTTCAGCTTGAGGCTGGCGCGCTACCCCTGAGCGCCTTCCAGCCCTTTACTGACACCTCCCGGTGTCTGGCTGAAGCGGCAGCTGTGGCGCCCGCTGCCACGCGCTGAGCACTGATGGATACTTCGTCGCAGTCTGGAAATGGCGGCTCTGCCCAGGCCGGGAAGCCACAGCCGTGGCTTCCACCCATGACTGAGACCGTCTGGACATGTGAAATGACTTCCAAGTAAAAACTGGGCTAAAAGAAATCTTTTGGGGCTGGGAAGGCAGCTCAGTGGGAGAGCGCTGGCCTTGCATGCATGAGGCCCTGAATTCAAGTCCTCGGCAGCACATAAGCAGAAAAAGCCGGAAGTGGCGCTGTGGCTCCAGTGGTAGAGCGCTAGCCTTGAGCTGAGGAGCTGAGGGACAGCACCCAGGCCCAGAGTTCAAGACCCATGATTGAACAACAACAAAAAAAATCCTTTGGCCTGGGTACCGGTGTGGTAATCTTAGCCACTCAGGAGCCTAAAATCTGAGATCTGGAGGCTCGTGGTTCAGTACTGGGGGCTGAGTTTGATTAGGGTGTTACATGGTTCATATGTATAAAATCATCACCACAAAACCCTTTTGTACCACTGAAACAGGCTAATAAAAAGGAAAAAAAAAAGAAAAAGCAAGCCGGGCCTGGAGGCAAATCCCGGCTACTCTAGAGTCTCACTTGTGAGGACCATGGTTCAAAGCCAGCACAGGCAGAAAACTCCACGAGATGCCCTGATCTCTAAGCAACCGCCAAAAAGCCAGAAGTGGAGCTGTGGTTCAAGTGGGAGAGCGCCTGCCTTGAGCCAAATCAATAAGCCCAGAGATGGTGGCGCCCAGGCCCTGAGTTCAAGCCCTGGGACCGACACCAGAAAAACAATCATCAGGGACCCCCGTCCCGCCCCCGCCCC